TCAGATAAACTAAGGATGAGCAGAATTAATTCATGGGGATATTGGGTGATTTAAAACATTACAGATTATTATAGAAATCTGTATATAACATGTTTTTGTATAATCATAATTAGCAAGTTGGTTCACTTCTGAGTAAGATTGCCATGTTATATATCTTTCTGTTTACACTGATTTACTCCTTAAGTGTTTAACACTTTGACAAATGGTTTGGAGGTGGAAAACATAGTCCTCATACTCTTGGTATCTTTTGGGGTGATACAAAAGACACATAAACCAAATGGGGAGAATGAAACCTTCAGATCCTGTAATTGTCTAATCTCGGGAGATGGGTTTCAGTTTGACATTGGCTTTGAAACTGTCTGTGTGGTGATATTCACTACTTTTTAGGAAACTTGGATTTTTTAATTGAACTGAGTGACTACATTTTGATTATCTAATTTATTTCATCTATACTTTAAAATTTATATGTTTGCTGGGGATTAGAAATGGCATTTAGAAATTTTATTGAGAGCCAGAGGAAAATTATACCCCACTTTGTCAAGTGCACCATTTCAGGTTTAATAAATAGAAGAATAAAATGGCAAAAAATGATGGTTGTGTCTGTGAGACATGATGGTATCAGCTATCAGTCAAACCAGGAGTTTTCTTCTCCCACCCAGAGTGACCTGTGTTTGGACCCAAATGAATGAAAGCACTGGAGTCTAGTCTGAATTCTGGCTCAGAAGTTGCTCATCCTAGAGTCATTAGATAAGGATGAGTCATTAGCACTAAAATGATGAGTTCCAATGATGGCATCCAGGGCTTGTGTCTGGAATGATGCCTATGTTATTGTTATTGTTAATCATGGAAGGTGAAGATGAGTTACTAGAAAAAACTATTTTTAAGTGGTATCGTGTGTTCATCAGAAAGAAACGAGTGATTCTAGTCATTGGATTTGCCCAGGTTTATAAATCTTTTCCCACCCGTTGCATTCACATATTAATAATAGACATTATCGCCTGGCTGGCGTGGCTCAGCGGTTGAGCATCGACTTACATCCAGGCGATCTCAGTTCGATTCCGGTTCAGGGCACATGCCCGGGTTGAGGGCTCGATCCCCAGTGGAGGGTGTGCAGGAGGCAGCCGATCAATGACTCTCATCATTGATGTTTCTCTCTCCCTTTCCCTTCCTCTCTCTGAAATTAATAAAAATATATATTTTTTTAAAAAACAGATGTTACTGAGTCCAAAGACTAATTCTAGCCATACTGGTAGACAGAACTAGATCTGTCTTGGTTCAGGTTTACTCTACTTTATATGTTACCTGATTTTTGAGACAATTATTCCACTTCATTTTTGCTTCAGAATCTTAAATACACTGTTTTATTTTTGCTGTTTTCTGTAAGATGTGAGAATCAGAAATGATGTCTATCCTAAGGGACACATGCAAAATATATACCATAAGGGAGACAATTCAAAGCAAATTATCTCCAAATAGTATACATTCCCATAAAAATCATAATTTAAAATCCTGATTTAAAAAATATATATATGATTTCCCAACTTTTACATACATAATTAGATTTATTTAACACATATTTCGCTCTGTCTAGTATTGTAGAAATTTGACAATTTTTTAACAAGATAATCAATTATAAAAAATTTGCAGTGGTCTACGTACTCGGTCCTGCTGATGATGGATTTGTTTCAGGGGTATATGAAGCATACTAAGAAATTCCCTAAAACTTTGCTTTTTTATATCTATAAATTATCATCAGTGATAGTAGCAGCTGATCTGACCTCAAAACAATAAAATTATTTGCCCGATGGAGAAGATATCAGATAAAACTGGATGTTTCCAGCTAGAATTATGTTATTGGGTAAAGTAAGTAATTTAAAAATTGATTAGCCCTACCTGAAAGGCAAAGTCACAGGCCCTGAGAATATGAATAGGTGTGTTGACTAGAGAGTGATGTGAAAAATGTGAGGATTTACGTTTAAATGCAAACGGCTATGCAAGAACCCAGCTGCTTGATAACTCTCTAGGTGAATTTGGTATTAATACTGCTCCCTAAGCCACTAATGAGAATGTTTTTCAAGATTTAAGTGTAAATGCTTTGTACCTAAAACTGATGGAAGTAATTGGTAAACTGGTTAATAAGCCCTGCTTGGAAGTGAATGGGAGTTGCAGGCTGGAAAACGTAGGCCTGGTAAGTAATCCTACAAGCCAGCGGAGTTCCCTTCACAGAAAGAAACAAAGATAGCAGTAATTAATGACCCTGACTCTGTGCCAGAAAAGCTTTCTTCTGACAACTCCAACTTAATTAAAACTTAAGACATTTCAATGGCCTCCGCCAGCCCCCGATGGGGTGAACCCTTGCAGACTCGTGAGAAAATTTTGTAAATTAAAGGGAAAGATGTGTGTTACCACTAGTACCATGACTCTAATCCCTGACAGTCAAAGAATCTATTTAGCCAGAGCCCTTTCTTTTAAGCGGCTCACACCTGCAGGCTTCCTGGCA